TGTTGGTGCGTGGGGGACCTTTCCCCCCCCCCTGCCTTTTCTCCCCCCCCCCCCCCCCCCCCTCGCGCTGAGCGGTTTAGGAGGGCTGAGTTGTGCCCCAGAGAGTGAAAGAGATGGGGCTGCCACCTGCCTGCAGGCAGCGGTGTGACGCTTGGGGACACTGGCGGTGGCCGTAATGCTGCACCCGGGGGTTCGTAGCGTCGCGGTGTTGCTCGAGTGGCATCGTGCGTCTCCTGCACACGCCCATCCCTCCTGCGTGTGCCCTGCGCGTGGCTGTGCCACCGCCGTGCTGACAGTCCCGGCCATGCCCTCCCACCTCACTTGGTCTTTGAGGTGGGCTGGGGACCCTGGTGGGATGACCAGAGCCCCCCATTGGGGTGACCGGAGCCCGCTGCTGTCTCACTCTGCGGTTGACGTGAGTCAGCAGCGCACTGAGCCCTGATGCTGGCCCTGCTCCTCGCCAGGAGACAGCCGGTGAGCCCGAGCGGAGCGGTACGGAGACGACATGCAGACGGGGGCCAGAGGGGATTGCTGCGGCAGGGACCGGCACCCCGGTGGGTGGGGGCTCCGGCGGAGGGAGCAGGGATGGGATGATGGAGGGGGGGACGTGCTCTGGATGGTGGTTACCCACCCTGAGGATGAGGTTGGGGAAAAGGAACGTGCATGGCAATTCCTGGCCAAAGAGCAGGGTGGGGATCTGGTTTCCCAGATGGAGGGTAGGTGGTGATAGTGATGGGTGTCCTGTCCTACCTTGCAGGGCTGGGACATGGTGTTGGGACAGTTGCATGGGCATCGTACTGCTTCCTTGTCAAATGCCATTGTAATTTCTCTTTCCCTCTGCTGGTTTGCCTTTGGGCAGCGGGATTTCTATCCCCTGCCCACCACAGTGTCAGCTGCCTGGGGAAAGGAGGTGATGCCCTGTCCCCTGTGAGCCTGTTCCTGTACCATCTCACCCACCATCTCACCTGGTGGCAGGGCCCAGTGGTGTGTAGCTGGCTTCAGCTGTGACACCAAGTGGACCAGGAGCCACAGTGCCCGGTGCTGCCCTCCCCCCTTCCCCCCACCCCCCCACACACAGGGTCTCTTGCCCTGCTCGGTGCCAGCTCAGCCCCGGCTGTCCCTGAAGAGGGGCTTCCCAGGCACAGATCGTGCTGCCTCTGCCCAGCCCCGCCAGCTCTTCCCAGGAGACAAAACGCCACTTGTCTGGGCTCCGGTCTCTGAACAGGCTGTGCTTTTGTCTCGCCGACACAAAGGGGCTGTGAGGGGCGGGGGGCTGCCGGCTGCGGGGAATGGGGCTGATGGGGCCCATGGCAGCTGCCCCAGGAAGCATCGCCTGTCCTGCAGGGGGCACAGGGCTGGGGAGCTGCTGCCCCTTCCACCGGAGGGGCACCCAGAGTGGTGGCATCAGGGCCACAGAAGGGAGCTGCCTTTGCTGCCCCAGCCCTGCACCTACACAGCAGGTGCCGGTTCTGCAGAGCTGGGCAAAGAGGCACTGGCCCCAGAGCGAACAGCAGGGACCCCCATCCCTGGGACAGTTGAGGAGACCACCGACGCCACCACAGAGGAACAGGGTGGCATCCCCATTCCCACTGCCAGCCTGCTGCAGGTCACCGAACGGAGACGTGAGTGCACACCCGCTGCCTTCCCCTGTGTCCCCTCTTGCCCCTATGGTCCCTGCCCGCCCCGAGCCAGTCACTGTTATCTCCCCTCCCCACCTCCCCACCCCTTGTCCCTGCCTGGATCACTACCCAGCCCTCTCAGATCCCATGGGGCCCCCAGCTCAGCACCAGGGGCTCTGTCTGGCAGCTGCCCACCCGCAGTCCTGCTCCCCACAGAGCCACTGAGCAGCGTGTCCTCGCTGGAGGTGCACTTTGACCTGCTGGACCTCACAGAGCTGACCGACATGTCGGACCAGGAGCTGGCCGAGGTCTTCGCCGATTCTGACGAGGAGAACGTGGCCAGCGAGTCGCCTAGCGGTGAGTGAACGTCCGCCTGCACCCCGCTCCTCTGCTGTAGCCAGGAGGCACGGGCTGAGCTGACTGTCCCCATAGGGCTGCACCCGCAGGCTATGCCACGGGCAGGGTACCTGCGCTCCCCCTCCTGGACCCGTGCACGCGAGCATGGCCGGGAGAAGAAGCACCTCAGCGACTCAGAGCTGCAACCAGGCACCCTGGACACCTTCCTGGCAGTGGAGCAGCCTCAGCAGGAGTAGGAGCTGCCCCGGCTGGTGGGGACAGACACGGGGGCACGCAGAGATGTGTGCTTTGCCTTGTCCCCAGCTCCTTCTGACCACGTTCCCCACTCCCTGCCCCAGGAAAAGCCGTGCAGGACAAAGGACTCGCTATGGGACATGTTGTGTGACCGGGCGCTGCGGGGTGGCAGCTTCAGACTGTGGGTACCAAGCAATGCCAAAGCTGGTGGCTCAGTGGGGAGGGGGAACTGGCCTCCTCAGCCCTGTAGCACAATGGGGGCTGCACTACCCGGCCCCCACCTCCTTTCCACCACGGTCCCAGCGTGGCAGGACCAGGAGCTGTGCAGTGTCTGCACTGTACGGCCCACCGCCATGTAGCAGTTGTGTGTACTGGTAAAACCAACCAACCCATGGCCACTGCTCTGCCCCGTGTCCATTGCTGCAGGGAAGGGGAGATGCAACCCCTGTATGGGGTGGGGGCTGCCAGGAGCAGCAGGTTACAGGGAGGGGGGATGTGGGGAGCCTCTGCACGAGCAGAACTGAGCATAGGGAAAGCTAGGAGGAGGGATGCAGGGGAGCTGGCACTGGGGCAGAGCCAGACCTCATCCATGAGGGCCCATCCCACTGCTTCCACAGTGCCCACCAAAGCTCCCTCAGCCCTTCTTCCAGGAGCAGCCCCAGGGCAGAATTGTGACTGCGGCGCTGTGCAAAGAGGCGACGCAGCTGCGACAGACCGGGCAAGTGTTGCAGGAGTGGTGTTGGGGGACAGCATGTGCAGTAGGGGCTCCCGCGAGCAGCACTGAGCAATTGCAAAAGCAGAGGCAGTGGCATGCCCCACCCCTGATGTAGTGTCACACACCAGCACTGCCCTTAAACCCCCCCTCAGCATCCCTCAGCCCCGGCCTTCAGTGTTCTAATGCGTCCCATAATGCAGCGGAGGAAGAAGAGATGCTTCCCCCCCCCGACCAGCAGCATCCAACCAGGCAGCGTTCACCCAGAGCACGTGGCTGCACGTGGTGGCTGCCGGCAGCCCCACCAGGGTAGGACGCCCCGGTTCTCCCCCAGACGCCATGCCCAGCCCTTTGGGAGCACGTGGAAACCTCAGCCCCATCCAGGCACCCTCGCCCTTCCTGGAAGAGCCCGTTCCTCCGGCTCTGCCAGCACGCTCGCCCACACAACGTGGCTGCAAAGTGCAGGACCCCCACCCAGCACAAGTCCTGGCCCCACGTGAGTGGCAGAAGTGAAGTTTGCAGGGCAGCCTCCGCGGCCATCTGTCCATCGCGGGGCCCCGGTGGCCGTGGAGACGGGCCCTCGCTTAGGGCTCTGCCTCGGCCACAGAGTCCTGGAAGAGGGACTGCTTGCGCAGGCTCAGCCGGGCACACTTGGGGCACGTGGTGGAGTTGTCGTAGTAGCAGTCCCTGCGGGGAAGGGATGCTCTGGGGAACGCTAGGAAGCACGAAGGTCCTGGAACCACCCGTCCCTCCCCCCCTGCAGCACCCAAAGGGATGTAGGTGGCTCCAGACAAGGCACCCACCATACCTGTGGAAGACGGCGGAGCAGTCAGTGCACACTGAGGTGTGGCTGTCAAAGGGGAAAAGCACATCGCCCTCCTTGCAAAGCTCACACACAAAGCCTTTTGCCTGGCAACGCTGGGGTGAGAAAAAACAGATGAGCCCCTGGTACCTGGGTGCTGACAAGGACCTCCAGGTCTTCGCCAGTGCCCTCCTTACGGCTCCAGTCCAGATCTCAGCCCAGGTTGCCCTGCAGCACCGCCCCACTCACCTCGCAGTCCAGCTTGATGTGCTTGGCGAAGAGGGTGTGGATCTCAGTTAGGGAGCAGCTCAGGCGCCCAGCCTCGATGTCAATGAGGTCCTGCAGTGAGTACATCTCGTCGTTCTCTACAAAGTGCTGTCGGTCCTGCAGCTGCACGGGCAGGCAGATGTCACTGCTGTGCCCACATACCCAGGGCCTCCCCCCTGCCCGCCACCGGGCCTGACCTGCAGCAGCAGCCGTGCCTCCATTGCCTCCTTGCAGGTGATGAAGTATGGCTTCATAAGCAGGATGTCCTGGCGCAGCTTCTGTGGGGGCGCCGGGGCCGGGGATGCGATGGGAGTGGGGAGAGAGACAGGGAGAAGGTGGTGGCAGGGTCAGGATGGAGACAGGGACGGGGATGAGAGGTGTTTTGTGGGAACGGGACAGGATAAGGGTGGGCATCGGGTGAGGACGGCGCCAGGACAAGGCTGGGTCAGTCCCAGCCCTGCAGTTCAGGCACCCTCCCAGCTTATCCTTCATGTTGCCACTACCCCGTGTCACCCTCCCACCCGCAGCCACACCACGCTCACCCGGATCTCCACCAGCTCCTCCACGTAGTTGAAGAGCAGAGGGTTGATCTCTCGCAGCTTCAGCACAGGCCGTGACACCATCAGCGCCAGGTACCGCATGCTGCAGCGGGACACCTGCACATACACTGCTGTCACACTGCATGCAGGGCCAGCGGGGCCTCGCAGGACACAGCTTGAGCCCTCTACCCCTGGCCCAACGGACTTGGCTCTGAGAGACCCCACAGCCAGAGGCACAGCCTTGCAAGTGTCTTCCAGCCAGCGACACAGTCCCCAGGGACCCCTGCCTGCGGACACAGCCTCCCAAGTGATCCCTGAGTCCCCTGTGCCCCCCACCAGCACCGCAGGCACCTTGCGGGGCTCGAAGTCCCAGTTGTGGATGGCGCGGGCGGGGACGACAGCCAGGTCATTCCAGTGACAGCTGCTGCAGTAGTAGAGGCCGGTGTAGTCGCACTGTCGGGCCTCGCTGGGCACCCCTCCTGCAGTGAGGCACACATCGCTACCAGCACCCACACTGCCACCACCACCCCGAAAACATCCCCCAGCCCCAGCCTCCAGCTTCCCCCAGCCCCACACGCCTCCCAGATTCCCCCACAGCCACAGCCCTCGGTGCCTTACTGAGGGCGATGGGGGCCCGGCACTCGGCACAGCGGTAGTCCTGGCTGTCCAGCCCGCTCTCAGGGCAGATGCTGAGCTGGTACTCGGCCTGGTGGCTCACCTTGGACCTGACGCAGGGCTTGGTGACCAGGGGCAGGCACTTGCTGTGGCACCGATAGTAGCACCCTGTGGGCAGGTGGTTGTCAGCTCAGGGCTGCGGGGGGACTGCAGGGGGGTGTCAGTGCCCCCAACCCACCTGTACAGGTATACCAGGTCTGGATGAGGCCCCAGATGATGGTGCTGCACTTGTCACACATCTGCTTGACGCTCTTGCTCTTCTCCTTGTAGAATCGGTGCTCCAGCACCACACGGATGTTGGGCTCCTCTTCATCAGGGTCCTATGGGAGGGGGGAGGTGTCAACACAGCCCTCTGGTGCCCTCTGGACCCTCAGAGTCCTCCCAGGACCCTCACCTCCCTCCCAAGACATTCAGAGCCCCATTCCCTCAGGGTCTTCCCTTGAAACATCAGAACAACCCCAGGACTCTCAGATCCCTTCCCTAAGATCCTTGTCCCTGTCCTCCTGGACCCCCAGCTCCCTGCCCCCAAAACCCCCTCTCAACCCTCACAGTCCCCTCCATGACCTTCAGAGATATGCCAGGATGCTCAGATCCACACTCTTGCACTCCCACCCTCCACCCCAGGTCCCTCAGCCTCCTCAGGCCCTCCCTCAGACCCTCCTCAGGACCCTCAGGGTCCTGACCTTCAGAACCCCTCCCTGGACCCTCGGTACCCTTCCCCACCACTTATCCCTCTCCAGAACACCCCCCAGCATCCTTAGGGCTCCCCGCAGGTCCTTCAGAGCCCTTCCCAAGGACACTCATCCCACCCAGGACCCCCGCAGGATCTTCAGACCCCCCCCCCCGTGACCCTCGGCGTTCACCCCGCCTTCAGAGCTGCCCCGGGACCCCCGCAGCCCCACCTGCAGCTCCTGCAGTTTGAGGCGGAGGTGGATGAGCCGCACCACCGCGTCCTTCTGCCGCTCCGAGTGTTCGGGCAGCGCCAGGATGGCGCGGCGGCACTCCTCGATGGCGCGGCGCAGCTGCTGCACGTCGGGCGCCAGGATGAGACCCTGCGGCGGGGGCGACCGGGAGGAGGACGGGAGGAAGGTGAACCGCAGCCCCCGGCGGCGCCGCCGCAGCCCCCGGCCCTACCGCCCCCACTCACCACGGGCCGAGAGAAGTGGTCCTCCGCCAGGCCCAGGTCCATGGGCCGCTCCGAGCCCTCCCCGTCTCCCTGGCCCGGTTCGTGCCGCTGGGCCGCATCCAGCGGGGGAGCACCGGGAGGCAGCGGATCGTCCTCTCCAGCCCCGCCGCCACCACCACCACCACCGGGAGGCTCCGGGCCCTTGTTGAAGGGGTTGAGGTGCGCCTGCCGGAACCGCGCCAGCCTCTCGTCGTACGCCATCGCCCTGCGGGACGCGGCACCGGCACCCCGCGGCACCGCCCGCACCGGCACCGGCACCGGGGCGCCAGGGGGCGGGGACAGCGCCGAGCCACGCCCACCGCTCGGCCCGCCTCTCCCTCTAGCGCCCCCTGTCGGCCGGCGGAGCGCACAGCGCTGGGTGGGGCTGCGGACGGCCTCGGGTCCCATGGATCCCGTGCCCCCCCCACCTCGCAGCCCATTGTCTGCGCAGCACCGCCGTCCTGCAGCCCCCGCCGCACGCCCAGAGGAAGGTGGGCCTCACCAGCCCCAAAAAGAGACTAGGGGAGACGCTTTAGCACCGAAGAAGGAGCAGGGAATCTCCCATAGAAAGAGTGGGAACCCCGTATTGCTCAGGCTCTGTGTGTTGGGGTGCCCCTGGCTCCCTTAGAGCCTAAGATGGCCCTACATGGTTCCAGGGACACTGTTGGGCCCGTGCAGAGTGCTTGGGGCAGGAGACAGGGACAGAGCGCACGTGGAAGGGGGCACAGCGCAGCCTGGGGGGGCTTTGCAGCAGTGCATGGGGTGGCACTCAGCATTACATGAGCAGAATTTGGGCATGGCCCCAGTGGGATCTCATGGTCCCCAGTTTCCCTTCCATTATGGGTTTAAAAGGAAATATTACACCCTCCTCCCGCTGCCCCTTTACTCACTTTCCCCGTATGAGCCCCCTCCCCCCCATACCAGAAACCAGAGCCAGGAGTAACCGGACAGCCATAAATTTATTGAGTATTCAAAAAAAATATGAGACACAAACAGTAAAAAACAAAAAAAGGGGAAAAGGGGAGGCCATAGGGAGGGGGCACAGGAGGGGTTGAGCTAACATGGGGCTGAGGGGAGCAGACACCAAGGGGCGAGGCCAGGGCCCCCCCAAAGCAGCGAGTGCGGGGCCGTCACTTGGCACCCTGTGCCTCCGACTCCTCCTCATCATCCTCGTACATCTCGCCCTCCTCCTCGGCCGTGGCATCCTGGTACTGCTGGTACTCTGACACCAGGTCGTTCATGTTGCTCTCCGCCTCGGTGAACTCCATCTCGTCCATTCCCTCCCCCGTGTACCAATGCAGGAAGGCCTTGCGGCGGAACATGGCGGTGAACTGCTCCGAGATGCGCTTGAAGAGCTCCTGGATGGCCGTGCTGTTGCCGATGAAGGTAGAGGACATCTTGAGGCCGCGGGGTGGGATGTCACACACTGCAACTTTGACGTTGTTGGGGATCCACTCCACGAAGTAGGAGCTGTTCTTGCTCTGGATGGCCAGCATCTGCTCGTCCACCTCCTTCATGGACATGCGGCCGCGGAAGACGGTGGCCACGGTGAGGTAGCGGCCGTGGCGCGGGTCGCAGGCGGCCATCATGTTCTTGGCATCAAACATCTGCTGTGTGAGCTCAGGGACGGTGAGGGCACGGTACTGCTGGCTGCCACGTGCTGTCAGCGGGGCGAAGCCAGGCATGAAGAAGTGAAGGCGTGGGAAGGGCACCATGTTGACAGCCAGCTTGCGCAGGTCAGCATTGAGCTGCCCGGGGAAGCGCAGCGAGGTGGTGACGCCGCTCATGGTGGCCGAGACGAGGTGGTTGAGGTCTCCATAGGTTGGGGTGGCCAACTTGAGTGTGCGGAAGCAGATGTCGTACAGCGCCTCGTTGTCGATGCAGTAGGTCTCATCTGTGTTCTCCACCAGTTGATGGATGGAGAGCGTGGCGTTGTAGGGCTCCACCACCGTATCCGACACCTTGGGGGACGGCACCACGCTGAAAGTGTTCATGATGCGGTCGGGGTACTCCTCACGCACCTTGCTGATCAGCAGCGTGCCCATGCCTGAGCCCGTGCCCCCACCCAGGGAATGGGTCAGCTGGAAGCCCTGCAGGCAGTCGCAGTTCTCACACTCCTTCCGCACCACGTCCAGCACCGAGTCCACCAGCTCGGCCCCCTCCGTGTAGTGCCCCTTGGCCCAGTTGTTGCCGGCCCCGCTCTGACCTGGGGATGGGGACACACAAAGGGTGCATTGGGCGGAGGGCACGGTGCCAGGATTTGGGGTTGGGTTGGAGCCGCGAGGATGAGCCCGCAGGCAGCCCCAGGGGTGTCCCCTCCCGGTGTGGGGTGCGGCCACCTACCGAAAATGAAGTTGTCGGGGCGGAAGAGGTGCCCGAAGGCACCCGAGCGCACGCTGTCCATCGTGCCCGGCTCCAGATCCACCAGGATGGCGCGAGGCACGTACTTGTGAGCTGCAGAGAGACCGCATGGCGTGCCAGAGGGAACAGGCACCACCCAACACCGCCACGGGGAAGGGGGTGCACATCCGTGCCCCAAAACACAGGGACCTCTGAGGCTGGGTCCTTGCACTGTGTCCTCTCCTCCTCTAAACAAAGGAGTTCCCATTGGGTTCAGTGGCAATTTCCACTTCCCCCTTCTCACCCCCCCAAACTACAGAGTCCCGTGGGGTCGGTCCATTCATTTTGTGTCCCCCCATCCCCCTCAAAAAAGAAAACAACAATAAAAAACCAAACACCTCTAACGAGCTTCATGGGATCTATTCATGTACCACAGAGCTCAGTGCATTGACGCTTCCCTCCCTTTCGTCCCCACAGCATAGGATCCCCATGGGGCTGGGTGCATTCCCCCCTGCTCTCAAAACCATCGGTTCCCATAGGACTGAGGGCAGGCGTCTGTCCCAGCGTGGACTGTGGCCACGGGAGGGAGTGTGGGGACAGGAGGTGGTGGGGTCCATGCGGAGGGGGGGTGTGCCACTTACAGGAGGCCTCATTGTAATAGACGCTGATTCGCTCCAGCTGCAGGTCCGAGTCGCCCACGTAGTTGCCGCTGGGGTCTATGCCATGCTCATCGCTGATCACCTCCCAGAACTGGGGGGGTGGGGGGGAGAGGGCGGGGGCACGGGGGCCGCAATTCCGGGGGGGCGGTGCCCCCCCCCCCCCCCTCCCCGGACCCCCGCGCCGGTAAAGCCGCAACCCAAGGCCGGGATAGGAGGAGGGGAGGATGGGGGGGCAGCCGCACCCGGGTTCCCCACCCCAGGCTGGGTGTGAATCCCGCACCGGGCGGGGGGGCGCAGCGAGTCCCGCATCCCGGGGGGGCGCAGCCCCACCCCGCAGCCGCAGCTCCGTCCTCAGGGCGGGCGCTGTCCGCGGTGCTGAAGGGCGACGGCGGCGCCGGAACCCGCGGGCGGCGGCGGCGGCGGACAAAGGAGCGGGGCGGGGCCCTTTGTCCTCCCGGTGCGGCGGGGACGGAGGCGATGCGGGGGGGGGAGAGGGGGCCTTTGTCCGCCCCGCCGTTACCTTGGCGCCGATCTGGTTGCCGCATTGCCCCGCTTGGATGTGGACGATCTCCCTCATGGTGCGGCCGGACCGGAGCGGGTCTGAAGCGGAGCGGCACCGAGAGCGGAGCGGCACCGGGAGCGCGGGGGGCGGTTCCGCCGCCGCCGCCGCCTTTATAGCCGCCCCGCGCCGCACCGGGCCGGGCGCTGACGTCACCGTCGCTCCGCCGCCAATCATCGGCCTCCGCCGCAGCGCTGCAACTGCCCCTGCGGCACCGGCGCCGCCGCCGCCCCGCCCAGCCCCGCCCGTCCCGACCCGACCCGGTCCGGTCCGATTCGCTCCTGCCGGGTTCGACTCCGCTGCACTGCGTGGCCCCGGCAGCGGCCCGAGCCGACCCGGCGGCACCGCGCTGCTGGAGCATCCCCGGGGACACGGGCACGGCCAGGGGGACACACGGAGAGGGGAGGGGGACGCGAGGTGGGGGAGGGGTGCCTGCAGCCATTGTGGGGGAGGGGAGGGGACCCGCCCACTCGGACACGCGTGCGGGACCCCGCATCGGGGCTTGGGTGCCGGCACGGCGATGGGGTGTCCCCCGGACCCGCCCGAGCATCGCTTAGGGTGGGATCACGATCCGCTTCGTGTCCCGGGGAAAAAGGAGCCAACGCCCACCGGGGGCTGTGCGCGGGGGGGCCGTACCGGGGGAGGGCGCGGTGTCCCGGAGTCCCGCGGACCGCAGCGTGCGCTGCCGTAGAACAAAGGCGATGGCATTCGCCAAAGGAGCCGCCTTTGTCCCCAGGTGGTCGCGCTCCGCAGCCCCCACCCCCCGGTGTAGCCCCTCGGGGGCCGCCGGATTCCCCCATGGCGGTAGTGCCTGAACCGGTGCTTGCATTGCTGCTGTCGGGCAGCGATCTGTCTGCAAGTGAATGTGGGGCACAGGCTGGTGAGAAACGTCCAGGTGCCGGTGCTCAGCGCTGCCCCGCACCCAGCACCCACGGCCACGCGTGGTGCCAGGCACACATCACTGCAAAGAGGCTTTATTTGGGAGTGTGAGGTCAGGCAGCCCAACCCCGGCTGCATTGGGCCACCCAGGGGAAACCCAATGGTGCGTCCATCTGTCCATCCACCCGTCAGTCCGTCCATCCATCCATCCATCCATCCATCCATCCTCCTGTCTGTGCCGTCGCTTACCAGGAGCACAGCACCACCTCCCGCAGCGTCCGCCGGAGCTCCTGGCTCCGGAAGGCGTAGATCAGGGGATCAACCACTGAATTGCAGATGATGAGGATGAGGAAGAGGTTGAAATAGCTGAAGAAGCAGGTGCAGAAGGGGTTGGTGGGGCAGGTGACGATGAGGATGAGGTGGAAGAAGAAGGGCCCCCAGCAGATGAAGAAGACTCCCAGCAGGATGGTGAGCGTGACGGCTCCCTTCAGACTGCTGGTGCGGTAGATGGTGGGCTGCTTCTGCTGGCTGGAGATGTTGCGCACGTGATGGCGAGCCAGCGTGAACATGTGAATGTAGAGCACCAGCATGAGGACCAGCATGAAGAGGAAGAAGCTGATGAGGCAGAGCAGGATGGCGTTGTTGCGGTAGTAGGTGATGAAGACGGTGCTGGAGACGGTGCTGGCCAGCCAGACACTGGCCATGGTGACCACGGCGCGCTGCAGCGTCATGATGCTGTGGTAGCGCAGTGCATAGAAGATGGTGATGTAGCGGTCCACGGCGATGACCCCCAGGAAGGAGAGGGAGGACACGACGGAGCTGCAGATGAGCATGTCGATGACGTTGTCCATGTGGCGGACGATGCTGGCGCGGATCACCAGCACGCCGTGCTCCATCAGCAGCATGAAGAGCGTCTCAGCCAGGTTGCTGACGCTCACCAGCATGTCGGAGACGGCCAGGCAGCAGATGAAGTAGTACATGGGAGAGTGCAGATTCCTGTTCTTGAGGATGGCGGCCACCACCAGCAGGTTCTCCACCAGGCTCACCAGCCCCAGTGTCAGGAAGAGTTCATTGGGGATGTCCAGCCCCTGGCACCAGGCGCCGCCGGCCCCAGCTGTGGCGTTGCTCTGATTGCCTTCACTGGCGTTCCAGGGCTCGCGCAGCAGGCGCAGGGGGGCCAGCGTCGACATGGCCCCGGCCTCAGCCCCAGGGACCCCCTGGCTGGGGGCCGTGGCCCTGAGCACAACCGCAGCGCCCGCAAAGCCGCTGTGCTCCCAATCAGCCCCACCAGCGCTCACACAGTGCCCGACCACGAGGCAGAAGGGATGTGGGCACCTCTGTGCCCCAGACACAAGGATGGGGAAGGAGTCCCCCACCCAGGAGCCCACTGGGCAGCAGCGCAGGGACTCTGCTGTCTCAGCCGCCTCCCCACCAGCACTGCCTGGCGTATCCGGAGCTCAGTGATGGTGATGGGGAAGAAAGGGCCCTTTCTCTGTCCTAATTTAAAGCTGGCTCCCTCGGCTCCTCCTCCTGAGAAGGGTGGGCACGCACATGACGGCCTGTGCCCGGGTAGCTGGGGGCTGAGCCGTGTTGGGGCACTGCACAACGGGGTCTCTGTGTGCCTTGGGGTCCCGCATGCCCCGGGGCTGGGCATGCCATCTGGGGGCCGTGCAACACAGCGGGGTTTCCCTGAACCCTTTGGGAACCCGGTGCGCTGGGGCTGTGCACATTGGAGATCCCACACACCATGGGGTTTAGCATGCCCTGGGGACCCCACAACAAGGGCAGCGTGAGGGGGCAGAGCCCATATGCGGCCACAGCCACGTTCCCCCAAGTGTCCCTGGGAGGGTGCCGTGCTGTGGGCTGCGATGCACCCCCTGGGGATTGTCAAAGGAGCAATTGAGTGCGGTCCCGTGTTGTGGCCGTTTGCGGTCTCTCGCGCAGCACGGTGCCCCTGGGAGTTTGGGCGGGCTGGGGATGCGGGACCCATCTGACCATCATGTGCCTTCGGCTCACGGTTGATGCCTGGAGCTGCTCAGCTACCAAAGAGCCATTCAGGGCTCCATCCACTGGCTGTTTCCACCGGATGCTTCCACCCCACTCTCGTGGGGGCCGGGGCCTCCCTAGGGCTCAGAGTTGCTCCTGGCCCCACATGGATGAAGGCAGCTGTGTGCAGGCTGGGTGCTCTGTGCCAGGCATGGCTTTACACCCCGCAAATGAGAGCGGCACGCAGAGTTGAGGCCAGCTCAAAAGAGCACACATCTCCACTGCCACGCTGGGAGCGGTGAGGCCATGGTTGGAAGCTGCAGCACAGGGATGTCCTCAAACGTGCAAGCACGATGCCTGGCCCTGATCTCCAGCACAGCTCATAGGGCCAGGCGCCCACAGCCAAATGCTGGCGGCACAGCCCAGCTGGATGGAGCAGCCCTGCTCGGCGCCATCCACCTGGGCAGACGGCGTCCCCAGAGCCTCCCGTTCCCCCCAGGCAGGACCAGCCCAGGCCGAGGGGGAAACGTGAGCAGGAGGAATCCAGCCTAGCAGACATCAGCTTCCCCACCTGGCTCAGTAGCAAATTTCAGCTTTATCAGCCAGGGGTTTGGGGACAGAGCTGCAAAACGTCGAGTCTGCAGCTCCCAACAGCATGAGCGTGGATGGGTCTTGGCTCCCACATGGATGAAGGAGGGCAGAATGGAGCCAGCCCCAGCTGGGGAGCTCAGCTGCAGCACAGGGGGGGAGTGGTTGTTCCGGGCAGCGCAGCCTGGCTCAGCATTAGAGCCTCATACACCGTTACACAGCAGAAATGGAAAAGCTTTGTGAGCAGGAACGATGAGCTAAGGGCTTTAATGCAGCTGACCTCATTCTGGGCGCTGCACCACACTGCACCCTGCTTGAAGGTGGCAAAACAAGGGAAGGGAGAGGAAAGCAAAAAGAGGGGAGGGGTATCCTTTCTGTTTCAAGCACCATCAGAGGCTGCAGCACAACTCGGGCTACTCCCCCCACCACACAGCAACAGAGCTGCTCCGTGCAGCCTGCTCCATCCCTGCCCCCGCACTCAGCAGCAGGGAGGAGAAAAGGAGCCTTCACCCGAAGGAGGCACAAAGGACAGGAGGAGCACAAGGAAGAGATCTCCCATGATTAAGCACAGGACACAGCTCAGGAGAGCAGCTGGGGGAATCAGGCAACAAATGCATCTGTAAGGGGCCAGAAGGGGCCTAAGCTGCCAAGGGACAGCTGCTGTAATTAGCTCTCCCATTTTAAGACAGTGCTCAGCCTCTGCTGCAGCCTCTCCTGGCCGCAGCCTCTTCCCCCAAACGACAGCCAGCCCCTCTGCTTTGTAGGACTTTATTGGAGCGCGGGGGGGCGGGGTGCAATCACCCAGGGTTAGGGGCAGGCGTGAGCTCTCAGCTCAGTCCCAGTCCCCATCTCCTTCAGGATTGTCATCTCGGGGGGGTTCCTGGAACTGGATGTTGGCCAGCATGTCCCGCATGGCCGCCATGAGCCGGTTCACCCCCTGGTTCAGGTCCTGCCCTGCTCCCGCCTCTTCGTCTCCGTCGTGCCTGATGTCACCCTGCAACAGAGAGGAGCTGCAGGGCCCAGGCTCGGAGCTGGCTGCAGCAGGCAGACACAGACAATGCCACATGCCAAAAAGCATCAGGCTGCTCTGCAACCTGACGTTTACACACTGCATATGCCAAGAGCCACTCCCTTTGCAGAAACCCTGTGCAGTAAAAACTTCTGCGGACTGAAAGCAAAAACATGCTCTGATTTGCCAGGCAGCTGCTTTGTTGTTTGCTACATACCTGCAAGTTAAAATTTGGCAACAGTGATCGGAAGAAAAGAGATAAAGTGCTTTCATTGGATGGATGATTCGTTCTGAAAGACAGAAATCACACACCACACTTAAAGGGAAGCTTCTACTCCACCTGACTGTGCTTGTTTGGGCCAAGACAGGGCAGAGGAGCTGGTGAGAACCACGCCATCTCACAACGCACAGCCCCTTCCGTGAGCCAGCTGGGCTCCCCCCCTACCTCCCTTTGGGAATTCATAGGGGTTTCTTATCCAGGCTTCATTTACTACAAACCACATCAGTTAAGAAGCAACCCAAGCTCTTCAGCAGCCTTTGCCTCCACAGCTGTGACTAGCTGCTGTCTGACAGCCACCAGCAGCCCCAGGCAGAAGCAGCAGGACCAGTCCTGCCTGTACGCTCTGCCTGTCGGCAAGCACCACCAGCCAGGGCCGCTCTTCCTCCCAGGTGGAGGAGGACAGCAGCACAGAGCACCTGTGTGCAGCCCAGCCCGAGGCTGAGGGCATCGTCACTGGGAGGAGAGCTGTGCCAGCAGGCCCAAGGTGAGCGTACCTTTCTGGTCTCGTGTAGGAGATGATGGAGTCTAAAGGAGGAAGGGGGTCAAACCCCATCACAGGCTGCGATGTCACCTCCTGCAGAGAGGAAGAAGAGAGGGGAGGTGAAGGCTGTGCATCTCCAGGCACAGAGACAGTCGGACCAGCTGGGCAGGCCTCGGTCTTGGGGAAATCATCAGCCACAGCCCAGCCTGCCCACACAACACTGTGTGCTCATCCCAAGGACACCCTGGAAGCTGGGCACACTGGGTGGAAGCTTCGAGGTCATGCGGATGTTTCCTTCTGGTGGCTCTGGCCTGAGATGCGCCCAACGTCTGCACGTGTAGCAGGGTCTGCAATGCCACCACGCTGCACACAGCAGTGCTACCTGTGCCCTATCAGGGCCCCTCACCAGAGGCAGAGCTGCCGTGGCCTCCTTCATCTCTGACAGGATGACATGCCGGTAGATATTCCTGGGTGCACTCTGGTACCGCATTTTCCTCCTAAAGCAGGGAGGGGGGGACAGCAGTTAGCAAGGAGCACAGCTCAGTACAACCAGCATTTCATTTCTGCTTCTCTACGTGCAGCCTCAGCTCCACGCCTGGCTCTGCTGTCACTCGCAGAATCAGACAGAGCTGGCTGAAGGCAAAGCCAAAGTCACTTGGCAGCTGCTGACCTTCAAATGGAAGAGCAGAACAGCTCACTCTCACCGGCCTCCTTACGCTGCAAGTCAGCAGAGCAAACTAATGCCACCTTCCTCAACTTCTCAGAGCTTGAAAACATTTTTAGCTGCTCTGAGCAAACCCCAGCATCACTGCTGCCCAACAGAGAGCTCCTCCCTTGTCTGAAGAGCCCCCGGCCTGATGTGTCCCTGTTTGTCAGCACTGAGGTCCAGCAACAGAGCTGGTCACCTCTGCCTGCCGCACTCACTTGCGCTCAGACTCCTCCACCAGCGGGTCCCTGGCATCCACCATGCGTAAGACCTCGTGGACGTTCGTCTCCAGCCAAGCCATGACAGCAGGGTCCTTCCACAGGGAGTGAGTCCTTCCCACGTAGAGGGACGTCAACTGGTTCAAGGCAGGAGGCTGGCTGAGGAGACAGGCGTTATTCAGCGCACTCTCCTCTTGCCTGCAGCTCTCTGTGCTCCCTGGAAAGGGCTCGTTGTCTCCACGCTGTGCTTCGGTGTGAGAACATGCAGGGAGGAATCGCAGGCTCCCAGCCCTGCTGCCTACATCTACCTTCACCAGTTTTTCTGCCTCTTCCTATTTCTGGGATAGACACAGCCACGAAATGAAAGTTACTCTGCCTTTACCTCAGGGGGAGACCGTTCACGTGTTTGGGAGGACCACATGTCAGGGAAACCCAGACTCACAGGAGACAGTTTGCCCTGAAAGCATGCACACATCGTTCCAACTACACGCACCAACAGGCTGCAGGATGAACTTCTGACCCAGCCACACTAAGGTGAAGCAGGTCTATGAGAGTTATCTGATAGCCTTTATGGGAATCCATTATAAATGCATCTAAGAGCCTCTCAGAAAAGTAAGTATTCTCTGCAGCTTTTAAACTCCATTAGCTGCCTGAGCAAGCAAAAGCCCCGCAACCAGCAAAATCGATTCCTTCTCTTCACTGAGAACATCTCCAAGCCTTACCTTATCTGAGCATTCAGCCCAAAAAAGGAATGGGAGGCGACCCTGGCATCAGGCTGCACACTGCAGTGGTCCAACAGCGGCATAAGAACTGCAGGAGAAAGTCACACAGCTCGTGTTCAGCAGAAGTGCCATGGGAGCAGGCAGACACCACTGCCAGGGCTGCAGAAACAGTCCCACCCCTGGGGCAGCTTTGCAGCTGG